TTCTTCATACATATGGGCATGCTTGGAATCATGGCATAAATTGTGTGTTATGTTTTTATCCATGTCTCATTTCTTTTTCACTTTTTATTATAAAAACTCTTCACATAGATGAGCGTGCTTGGAATCATTGCATAAACCATGTGTCATATTTTTTCCTATGCTTCTATTTCTTTGTTTTTAAGGTGTAAAACATCACGGAGACACATGGGCATGTCTATTTTGATGATGAAACAATGTGTCTACTCTCTATCTATGTTTCTTCTCCTTTAATTTTGAACTTTCAAACACAAAGCACATATGCGGGTGTGTATGTTGATAGCGTATATATCGTGCCCTCTTTTTTTGCCCATGTGGCTTCCTTTCTCTTCTCCTTTTGCAAAGCCTAACAGTACTTGTGCTGCATATATTCTCACAATCAAGTCAAGTATGGAGGAAATTTGAAGAAAAATAAAAATAATACCAATGTAAATATTAACTAAGTGCAAAACAACAAAAAATTAATTAAATTCATTACGTTACCTCCCAATAAAGGCATTTTTTTAAATATTATTAGCTCAACATCACCTTTGCAAAGAATTTGGATCCTTCATCTCAAAGTGCTAGGGAATATTCGCCTTGAGTGTTTGAGAATAAATGGCGTTAACGACAAAAACAAAGTGAACATTAATGGGGTACCTCGGGGCTTCAAATTTATTGAAACAAATTATTTCATCATCAAACTCTACTGTAAGGGTACCATTATAGACCTTTATATTGGCTTAGGCTATCTTAAGAAATGGTTTTCCCAACAAGATGGGTATAGGGTCATGGGAAGAATCATCACCTATCTCTAGAATGTAAAAGTCAGCCGAAAATATAAATTTATTCACCTATATAAGAATGTCATTAACTACTCCTATTGGGTAATCATTAATACTATATACTAATTGTATGATAACACCGAGTCTCTTTTAAAGAGCTTAGATTTAATGAACCATAAATAGAATATGGCATAACATTTATAGACGTTCCTAAATCTAGTATAGCTCTTTTAATTCTAGTGTGACCAATTTTATAAGAAATGGTAAACATACCTAGATCATTGTATCTAGGTGGAAGTTTCGTTTGAGAGACTACCAAAACACTCTTTTCCATTCTTACCTTTTTGTCCTCATTCAACTTTTATTTGTTAGTGCATAAATCCTTTATGAACTTTGCATTATTTGGCACTTGCTTGATTGTATCCAACAAAGGCATATTAACCTTAACCTTGTAAAATAGCTCCAAAATTTCTCCATCTTTCTCCTTTTTCATTTCCTCCTTTTTATGTTTCTCTAAACTCGCTAAGAAAAGGTAGAGGATAATTTTTAAACTCGAACTAAAGGTCAAGTGTTACCTTGGAATTTGATGTAGCCCCTTTTATTATTATGTTTTCTTATTCTATTTCTCTCTCAATCTATTCTTCATTCATTGCTATAAAGATTACGTTACTTGGTTTTTCCATTAGAGCACCATTTTTTAATGACATTTTACTCATATTTTTCTTTGGATTTATCATAGTTTGGGATATAATTTCTCTTTATATTGAGCCTCTAAACAACTCACGGTAGTTGCTATTTGAATCATCTGATTTTTTAAGTTTTGGATGCTAGATCTCACTTCTTTTTGAAACTCCTTGGTATTTAGAGCAAGAGACTTAACTATGTCCTCCATAGACTAATCTAAATTTTAGAGGACGGAGTTGTTGATAGGGTTTAGGTTGATGACCCTATTGCCTTTGCTTGATAAAAGTTTTGCTTGCCTTGTCTATTGCCTCTATAGCTCGGGTTTGGATGATCTCTCTAACTAAGATTGTATGTGTTGGACAATGAGTCATATTGCGTTAACTAATCACCAAAATTACCAATTGTATTGGCTTATTTAGTGGGTCCCTCTTGAAGTGTTAGGCATACATCTATGGTATGACTCGATACCGAACAAATCCCACAAGCCTTAACAACTTATAAATTTACCACAACCATATGTCTCACTAATGAAGTCGAGTCCGACTTTTGTTGCTTAAGGCTAGACATATTGACCTCATTGACCCTCTTTAGTGTGTGATCCAATCTAGCACCAAATTGGTGAAAATTTACTTTCATATTAGAAATCAAGACCACTTGTAGCATCCGGGTCTTATCAATGAAAGCTCCTCCACTAGCAATATCAATCATATTCCTCTCTATAGCTAACAAACCCTCATAAAAATACATAATGAGAAGCTGATTAGAAATATGATGATGTGAAAACTTGTCCATAATTTCTTGATGTGTTCCTAGTACTAATATAAAGTCTCCCTATTAAATTGTCAACTATCACATTTCTCCGTTATAATGTTGACGACTCGTGATGCAAAAAAATATTTCAATAGGAAGGCCCGTTTCATTGTATTCCAAGAATTGATTGAGCTTGTATAAAGATCATACAATCAATCTTTTGCAACCACATCTAATGACAATAGGAATGTATGTAGCTTGATTTATTCTTTCGACATGCCTTGTGGCCTTATGGTTGAATATATCATATGAAATTCCTTTAGATGTTTACGGGAGTCTTCTCCTATTAGACCACAAAATTTGGGCAATAAGTGTATTAGTCTTGACTTTAATTCAAAATCAACATCTAGATCCAAGAACTTAATCCATAAGGGATACTGATTTAGATCGGGAGCAACCAACTCCTCCAAAGTCCTATTCGCAACCATGACTTCCTTTTTAGAATCACTAAAGGATAAAAACTTAAGAGCTATGTTTATACCTAGGGAAGTTACAACTACCCTCTTAGATGTTTCAGATCCGCTTTATCAAAGCTTATCTAGCTTCTTTCTTTAATTTGTGAAAGGGTCTTTTCGATTCGGGGTTAAAAATCAAGTCACTTGTATGAACAGATTTGATCATATACTAACTCGATATAGAAAATAGGAAACAATTAGAATATTAAAAACAATTAATTAGAATGCAATTCCTTGATAATAGTGTCAAAATTTGATAGCGTGTCATATAATCATAAAATTATTTATTTCTTTTTCTTACTAGACCTAATTATAAAACTATAGCTAGGGTACGTAAGAGTCGATCCCTTAGAGAATCGATTCAATTAATTTTCTTTATTGTCCGATTATTCCAAAGTACATGAAAAGAGAAATAAGGTTTTGTCTCGTAGAGAATAATAAAGATAATCAAAATTAAACAAAGAGATAAACAAGAGTATTGAAGCCTTGGTCAAAAGATAGTCTCTACTTTTGGTTCAATCGTTGATCATTGATTCAAATACTAATCCATTCTTTTCATGAATATTCACTATAGAATAATAACAAGCTATATTATTCTCAATCTTTCCCTAGTGATTTATTAATTAAAATAAGCTATTTAATTAATCCCTAACATCGAACAAGCTAGAATGAGCTATCAAGATTTAATCCAATAATAACATTAAGTAATAGAAAGATAGGTGAAGCTAAACAATTCTCCTACAAGCTAGAAGAATTTAATCTATTTCTATATTTTTCTAGAAATTAAACAAAAACTTTTCGTAGTCATTAATCCTTAGTTTCTACCATAAGTGAGATTAGATAAACAATTACAAACTTGAATTCTTAACTAACAATAAATTATATAGATCAATTCACTAGTGTGCACACTAATCAATCAATCAACTCAATCATATTCATATATTATAGAAAAAATAAAATACCCAAAAAGAATTAGATTAGGAGTAGAACCTATTTAGATCTCACAATGATTTAATCAAAGCTTCAACTTTTCCTTCAATCAAGAAAAAGTATTTAAAGTTGTATGGTTTTGCTTACAAAAGCTTTGTTCTATCTATGGTTACGTGAATGAATGGATGAATAAAGTAAAGCCTAACTTTTTTATTTATAGCTAAAAGTAGGATTTCAACACACATAGAGAGGCCTTATGTGGACACATGGTTTGCTTGCTTTAGGTATATGGTTTGTTCTTTGGGCGTTTATGGTTTGGAGCCGTGAACAACTAGTGTCTTAAGCCTTGCTTGATCGAGGTATACGATCGTGTTGCATTTGCTCTTCATCTCATGTCTTTTGACTTCGGCCATGTGGTATTTCTTGCTCCTTTGAATGATAGCTTAGTGGTGACACACACGAGTGTGTCAATTCTTCGCATAACCTATGCTTATTTCTACTACATGTGTTGTAAAACATATGACCAGTGGCTCTCCTTCCTTTAACTTGGCTTTATATGTTGTCTCCATTGGATCCTTTGTGGGCTTGGATTTTTATGTACCTTAGCTTGGGTTTATTCACTTTGATTTTTAATTTTTTCGCTAAACCCAAAATCTTTATCTTATTGTTAATTAGCTTAATACAATACATAAAGTATTAGTAAGTTTAATGTAAAAGAAAATAAAAATTATACAAATTATGTACCGATCAAAACTCTTAGATTTTGGATTTGTGTTCTATGTTTGCTATTTGTTTATTTGGAATTGTGAAAAGGATTTTAATCCATTATTTTCACTTTTTGTTATTTTCGGACGAGATTCGGATATGTTGTCCGCACTTTTGTTTATTTGTAACTCTCAAACTTTGGATCTAGCTCATTAGTTTTTTAGCCAAGTGTGCCTTCCTAAATTGTGCATTGTGAATATAGTAGAATAGACCATTTATTGGACCTTCTTTGGTCGAGTTAATTAAGTAGAGTCCTTTTTTCTTGTCCTACTCTCTTTGACTGATTTTTAAGCTAGTGCATACGGTTCATTTTTAGTTACGCGAGGTAATTATTGGTTCTTAGAAGAAAAATGTTGTAGATTCCTAAAAGAATTGAATTTCAAAATGAATTACTCCTTGAGGAAGAGTGAAATTCCTAAAAACTAGATGGACTCCTTGAGGATGAATGGATCCTAAATAAAAGATGGGATCCTAGATGAAGGATGGACTCTTTAGGGATCAATGGACCTCGGATAAGAGATGGAATTCCTAAAGAGTGATAGACTTCGGACAAGGGATGAAATTCTTAGAAAATAAACTTCTTAAGGAGGAGTGGGATTCTTGGGATGGAATCCCCGAGGAGAGAGGAATTCCTAGAAAAGGAATGGACTCCTTGAAAAGTGGACTCTTTGAGGAAGGTTAGATCCCTAGCAATGAATGGGATCCTTAATGAAGTATGGATTCCTAGAAGAGGAATAGATCCCCGAGATGAGGGATGAAATCCCTAGAGAATGATGGATCCTAAATTAAGTATAGAATTTTTATACAGGGATGGACTTCCCAAATCGTGCACCATTGTTGTTAGATTAGAAGCTAGCAAATATGAACTAGAAACTCATTTTTAGGTTACGTTTTTACAAAAAATGCCATTAATGATGCATAAGTTATTGACATTTAGATTTATTGTACTTAATATTTAACCTCCTTGAGAAGTTTTCTTTAAGTGCTGCAAGTATGAAACACAAGTATCAATGTTATAAGGCCACCTCGTGATTAAGTCAGTATTTTGAGCATATTTTTGAAATTTTATGTGTTGTTGGATTTATATTTTTTTTTCTTTGTTTTTTTTTTTTTGGGGGGGGGGGGGGGGGGGAGTGGGCTTTTTATATAATAAAAAATAAAAGATGCGAGATATATTTTAGTTTGTTGAGGCAAGTGACTATATAAAAAAAAAAGGCACATAATTATGAGCATATTTCAGTTTTAAAACAATAATTTGATTGAATTACATACGAAATTAAGGACATCCCTGGATTTAAGTAAATAGTGACATCTTTGTTTTCCATTACCTAAACCAAAGGCAATAGAATTTAGATAGATCATCTCAAGGTTTCCCCTGCTGCTATTAGAATTTAGAAAAAATGGAGTCATGCTAACACTCCATCTTCGTCTCTCTCTTGAGATAGAGACATGATTATCTTTAAACCCACCCATCAAATCTTTAGACGCAATGTTCCCTCTCTTTTTCAAAATGCTTCTAAATACCTTAACTGTCACATAGACTCATTTCTCTCTAAACAGACCCAAACTCTCCAATCGCTACACAAATCCCATGCTTTCATTCTCACAACTGGCAATGCAAACAATGTTTTTATCTCATCAAAACTTATCTCTCTTTATGCATCTTTCAAAAAACCCCATTCATCCACCAAAGTTTTTGACTCAATTGTTCAAAAAGACACCTTTCTTTGGAATTCAATCATCAAATCTCACTTTTCCAATGGCAATTACCTTAAAGCTTTTGACTTTTATATCCAGATGAGATATAATAATACCCCACCAAACCAATTTACCATTCCAATGATTGTAGCCACTTGTGCTGAGCTTTTGTGGCTTGAAAGGGGGAAATACATTCATGGGGTGGTCTCAAAATCTGGCCTTTTTGCAGACAATTCTGCGGTTGGATCATCTTTTATTTATATGTATGCGAAATGTGGGGTGATGGAAGATGCATCTCTTATGTTTGATGAAATTGTTGTTAGAGATGTGGTGTCTTGGACTGCACTTGTAACTGGGTATGTGCATAATGGTGAGAGTGAGAAGGGTTTGGAGTGTCTTTGTGAGATGCATAGGGTTGGTGGGGATGATGAGAAGGTTAATTTTAGGACAATCGAAGGTGGGTTTCAAGCTTGTGGGAATTCGGGTGCTTTGAGTGAAGGTAGGTGTCTGCATGGTTTAGTTGTGAAAACTGGACTTGGGTGTTCTCAAGTTGTTCAATCTTCTCTTTTGTCGATGTATTCCAAGTGTGGGAGTGTTGAAGAGGCTTATAATTCTTTTTGTGAAGTGGTAGATAAAGATGTTTTCTCATGGACGTCGATAATTGGTGTTTGCACAAGATTTGGGTTTATGAATGATTGCTTAAACCTCTTTGGGGATATGCTGGTTGAGGATGTGTATCCAGATGGAATTGTTATAAGTTGCATCCTTTTGGGTTTTGGTAATTTCATGATGGTGAGAGAGGGAAAGGCCTGTCATGGACTTATTGTAAGGAGAAATTATGTTTTGGACGAGACGGTTAAAAATGCTTTGTTATCTATGTATTGCAAATTTGGAACTTTAACCCCCGCAGAGAAAGTTTTTGAATGTGTACATGAAAGGAATAAAGAGTCTTGGAACACTATGGTTTTTGGATATGGTAAGATGGGAATGGAAGAGAAATGTATAGAATTATTTAGAGAGATGAGAAATCTAGGCATTCAAGCTGATTCAAACACCTTGGTCTCTGTAATTTCTTCATGCTCTCAATTGGGAGCAATCAGTTTATGTCTATCAGTCCACTGTTACATAATTAAGAGTTCAATGTATGAAGATGTCTCAATCGCCAATTCACTTATAGACATGTACGGAAAAGGCAGAAATTTGTTCGTTGCATGGAAAATGTTTTCTAGGATGCAGAGAGATGTTGTAACATGGAACACAATGATGTCATCATTTATTCACAGCGGGCACTATGCAGAGGCTATCAAATTATTCGATGAAATGATTTCAGAAAATTTAAGCCCTAATTCAGCAACATTGGTTATAATGCTTTCAGCTTGCTCTCACCTTCCATCCTTAGAGAAAGGAAAAATGATTCATCAATACGTTGAGGAAGGAGGCTTTGAGCTCAATGTATCTCTTGCCACTGCATTAGTTGATATGTATGCAAAATGTGGTCAACTTGAAAAATCAAGAGAATTGTTCAACTCGATGAAGGAGAAAGATGCCATTTCTTGGAACGTAATGATCTCAGGTTATGGAATGCATGGAGATGCAACATCTGCAATGGAGATTTTCCAACAAATGGAGCAATCAAATGTTAAACCAAATGCACTTACCTTTCTATCACTTCTCTCAGCTTGCACACATGCAGGACATGTTGATGAAGGGAGGCAACTGTTCGATAGAATGCAATATTATTCTGTAAAACCCAATCTGAAGCATTACTCTTGTATGGTAGATCTTCTCGGAAGATCAGGTGACCTACAAGATGCTGAAGAACTGGTTCAGTCAATGCCCATTTGTCCGGATGGAGGTGTTTGGGGAACTTTATTAAGTGCTTGTAAGATTCATAATGAAATTGAAATGGCAATAAGGGTGGCAAAGCGTGCTATTGAATCTGACCCAGAAAATGATGGGTACTATATAGTACTTTCCAACATGTATGGTTCTATGGGAAGTTGGGATGAGGCTGAAAGAGCAAGGAAATTGATGAAGGAAAGGGGAGTTGGGAAAAGAGCTGGCTGGAGTTCAGTGTAGCTCAGAGAGAATTTTTTCTTGGCTATGGCCTTCGATGAGTTTTCCAGGCTACCTTACACGTGGTCGCATTTACTGACCCTAAAAGAGCTCTGCATATAGCTTGTTGGGCCAAGAATTGAGGATGATAACTAGAATTCCAACAACGCATCTTGCAGGTAATCTTGTTCATCACGGGGTATTGCAGCCTTTTATCATTTCCCACGGTCGTTGGTGTCATCAATACTAGGTGCTTAGGCAGACTTGTCATCATAAAAACCTATTGAACACTTGTTGTGGCAAAATTTGTCATTCTGAATAATTCAAACACTGCCCCCGAGGAATAAGAATCTACTTGAAGCTTCAAAGAGCCAATTTGATAATATTGGTACTTACGAACTATATCAACATTCAGAAATCCAAGAATTTTTTAATCCTAGAGGTTTAGAGGTTTCTGTGAGGAGGTTTTGTCAGATTGCTTGAAATAGGTGCCATCCATGCGTTCTAATCCTGGAGTCTGTGTTTCTATCTTCTGGAAGATGTTATAGCTCACAGGTTTTCCACTAAACTTGCAGCTTTAAACCTTTTCTTTTTCTCTATTTGCAAATTTTAGGCTTGACATGATTTTCAATTGGTAATTGATATTGCAGTTGTACTTAAAAGACGGCAGGTGGTGACAAGCATGGTATTGTGGAGGGAAGGCATCATGTGCAAGCCTGTGAGTTCTGTTACCATTCAGTATGTTCATTTGCCATCTGGAGTTACTGTTGTATAATAAATAACGTAAGCTATTCTGCAGTCATGCTATAATTAGTTGGTCTAATTTGTTAGAATCCCCTTCTTGTCCATGCACACTGTTGGTTTCTCCTAGCCAATACTTTTGTAACAAGGAGGAGGACAACAATTTTGGCTTTAATCTCATGAATGATACAAGAGGTGATGTTTTGTTGCTAATATTGGATATGAATCTACTAGTAATTGCTATTTTATGAGAAAGATTTTATACTTCATTGCTCTAATGTTTTTGCTATTTTCTGCAAGTTTAACTTGCAAATACTTGTTGTCAATTTGGTAAAAAAACTTTTGGAATTCATTTAATTATCTGATTAAGGCCAGTTCCCAGAAAACTCCATGAGGCTTCTTGTTTGCAAGGGTATGATGCTACTCAGTTCACTGACCCTGATTAAATTTTATATTTAGAGAGACTCGATCAAACATTGCTTATTTCTAACTTAAAATAGGAGGCAGAAGATGAAATTTGATTGAAATTTCTTTTACGACCGGAAAATACTAGTCAAACTTCAAAGGAACGGTAAAGATCTTAGGGCCACAGTGATCAAATGCTATTCAATATCTCATACACTATTAGTGCTTATTCTAGCTTTTGATTCTGTAATCTGTAGATAGTTTGATATTGGAGTTTTTCTATCTACTGTTACAATGAAAGCATAAAATTGGAACAAAAATCATGTTAGAAGATGATATAAGTATGAGAATTAAAACGGAAGAAGCATCAACAGATATAGTTTCTAAGCGAGCCATTAATTGATTATTTGTTTGAAATACTTGGTTTTTACTTGATGTTCATTTTGTTTGTATATTTACTCAGTTACACTAGTATTGATATATATGCCTTGTTCGAATATTTGTTTTATTGCATTCTTGCAGGTGTTGAACATCGGCATGGAGTGGGGTGGGGGTGGTTCATAGAGACTTCCGAGGTCAAATCATTGGTGGCAGTGTGATCCAATTTAAAGCAATTTTTGTGATCCATGGAAAAGCCTTGGCTTTGAGAGAGACTGTTAGGCTAGCCCAATCCTATGCTCCTAATCAGGTTCTAGTTGAGTCTGATGCTATGCTTGTTGTGAAAGTTGTGCAGCAACCAAGAAAACTAGTGCGTTGGGAAATAGATGCAGTTATTGAGCATGTGAAGAGGATGCATGCTCATCCGCCAGCAATCTACTTCAGCGGTCTTTGTTAGATCTGATAAATTCCACACTGATGGCTGTTGTATATTTAGCTATAAATAGGTTACAAAGAGATATAGTTGTACTATGTTTAAATCGAGTCTTAACTCAATTTGGTATCTTATCACCCTCTCTCAAGTTGAGCCGGAAAACACTGAATAGTCAATTTATCACAAGAAAATTGAAAACATTGGCTAGACATAGCTTCGGCCAAACAACTCGCAATTTGAGCCGTTGTGGAAATATAGCAAACAATTGAATCTTTGGTACCAACACGTTTATGAACAAAGTGAAAATCAATCTTTAAGTGCTTGGATTAAGAATGAAACACCGACTTACAAGTGAGGTATGTAGAGATGTTAGATGTAATTTATGAAGGAGAGACTACAGCCACGGAACCTCAAAAGTAGCCGCCATAGAACCGCAAAAGTAGTCGCAAATATGGCTTTATATTCGGTTTCAATGGATGATTTGAACACTTTGCATTGTTTGAAATAGCACTAAGATACCATATTAGTGCTAAGAAATATGACATTTAGTTGTGGATTTCGAATCATTAATACTACTAGCCCAATCAACATCACTGTAACTAGATATTTACAAATGAAGCAAAGGGCGAGGTTAACGGACCATGAGAACAAGAGGCCTTTAGGTAACGAAGGATATGTTTGATTGCTCGGTAATCATCGGTGGTAAGAGAGTGCATAAACCGAGCAAATTTGTTTACATTATAGGACACATTAGGATGTGTCAAGGTTAGATACTCGAGACTTTCCATAATACTACGATACGACGAAGGGGTCGGAAAATGGCTTACCTACGGTCATAGTAAGACGATGCTTAGGATAAGTAGAAGTAATAGTTGAGTTGCTTTTATGCATTTGAGAGCAAAGTAGAATATCATCAATGTACTTTGATTGAGCTAAAAGAAGACCCTTAGTAGTCCAAGTAGCTTTAATACCAAGTGTTAGTGTAGGTGCCCAAGATCCAACCTATTTGGATGGTTTGATTTATTATATCATTGTATTTTTTTAATATTAATAAAGAAGCTTTCTATTAATTTTTATTATTTATAATTTGATATAATTAAATAGAAGTTCATATGATATGCATTTACATTAAGGATTAATCAATAGATATGAGATAAACATCAATATATTTAAATGATATCATTAAATGTTACAAGTCATAACATTGTTAAGATTGGACATTGACGAGCATATAATACGACTTGTGAGTGCTATGCTCTTGCTATAAGATAATAGTAGGAGATCTTACATCTATTGACATGATGATGCCAAAGCAAGCACTCATATGAATAAATGTTAGAGAACATATTATTCTATTTTTTAATATTAATAAAGAAATCTTTCTATTAATTATTATTATTTGTAATTTGATAGAATTAAATAGAATTTCATATGATATGCATTGCATTAATGATTAATCAATATATATGAGATAAACATTAATGCATTTAAATGATATTATTAAATGTCTCAAGTCATAACATTGTTAAGATTAGACATTGACGAGCAAGTGATAAGACTTATGATTGCTATGCTCTTGCTATAAGATAATTGTAAGAAATCTCACATCTATTGACATGGTGATGCCAAAGCAAGTACTCGGATGAATAAATGTTAGAGAACATATCACTAGGCGTGACTCACCATGAGAATCCATTTAGTTTATTCTATAGGAATCTTACACGAGATGGGTACAACTGGTCTTTTGACTTGAAGTTATCACGGTTATCTCATTAGAGGATTAGTGTAGTTACACATTCATTTCAATGAGCTTAGTAAAGAGCTATATGTGAGTGATTCATAAGGTACATTAGAAATCTAATAGAGATATGTAGGTGATTGAAATATAACATGTTATTCCTTATATGCTAAAGGAGTTATCACATTGCATTTCAATGAATGTATGCTCAAAAAATTTGTGGCCATACTGAAATTATATTAATAGAGCATAATTGGTTTACTTGTGAGCTAAAACATTTGGAGATCGAAGAAAACTTGTGTGATCATAATCGAACATACTATAAATCAAGTTCGAGATCACACTATGATAAATTAATATGAGGATTGAATTGTATGGAAACTATACTCGAGAAAAGTAATTACAGATTAATTAATCCTTTTAGAGAACTTGGTAATCATGATGTCTTGCTAGAGGCCAATCTTGATTTATGTATCAAGAGATAAAAGAGATATCTTTTATTTTCTTGATACCTTTTTTAAATCTTTATACACTCCCAACATATTTAGGAGCCTATTGAGTTACACATATAAGTTTAAACATTCACATGATAAAAGAAAAGCAAAGGTTTTAGAAAACATTTTCTATTTTGGAAAAAGTCTATATTTTGAAAAGTCAGTTTCCTAAAATAGAAATCAGTTTTCTAATTTAGAAGTCAGCTACCTAAAATAAAAATTAGTTTCCTAATTTAGGTTTAAAGGTAATTTAGGAAATTGTTTTTTAATATGGGCCCCACTAAAATATTTGACTCAATTTATTTGGATGGTCCAAATTAATTAGTAAGTAATTAAGCTAAAAGAGTTTAGGCCAATAGGTTTAATTTTAAAGCCTACAAGATATTTTGATAGAGGGATAAACTTAAGTATTATTAAATAAGGCTCAAGGTTTACAAAGATAAGGTTAGATAAAGCCTACAAAAGTTACATCTCCTTGACCTACAAGAAGATTTATCATGACTTATATATAGAGAGGGAAGAGAGACTTGAAAAAAAGAAAAAAAAAGAAAATGTCTCTCCTTGAAACGAGCAAAAGTTGTCGTATCTTTCCCTTAGAAAAATAATGTTGGTGCAAAACCCTATTGAATTTTTTTTTAGAGAAAATTCATATACGGAATAGTTGGAGTTTGCACATGATGATTTCTATAGTTTCTTTTGTGAGTGTTTGAGTTGAGTGGATTATCGGTAAAGGTTGAACACTTGGATGGTTCCTTTTCGCAAAGGTTAATTCTACACTATAAGAGGTAATCAATCACTATTATCTAATTCATAGTTATATGATTAGTTGATTCAACGACATGATCTTGGTAACTCTAGATAGAGAAAAAATAATTTGTATTTATGTCGCACCTCTATAGGATGCATGATCCTTCAATTAGTATCAAAGCTTTCATTGAATCTTTAATTGTATACAATGTTAATTTTGATTCACTAGATGAATCATTGATTTCTAATTATAAATCTAATATTTTTAGCATTTTATAATATTTTAGAACTAAAATTGGGCTTAGAAAAGAGGGCATGTGTAAGGCCAACGTTGGATGTTGGTGCTCACGTGCACCAACGAGCCGAGCTAGACAAGTGTTGGGCGGCTTGCCAAGCCGAGTGTACCTCACGCTTGCCGAGCTTGTGTAAAGGCATTCATGCCTTATGCACACCAGTACATGCCCATGCCGAGGCAGCCATAGGCTAGCGCCAAGCACTAGCCAGCTGGGACATGACAACGCGTAGGCCTCGAAGTCCCATAAGCCAATAGGCCCAAATTGGACCTAAGGCCCAAATTTTTTTTAAAAAAATTAAAATTTAGAAAAATTTTAATATTTTATAAAATGGCCAAAATCACATATTTATAATTATATTAAAATACAATATGTTTCATTTGTTTATATGTCATGTATCAATGTGATTGTAGTATGAGTGAATGGTATGGATGAGTCGACCTAGTTTTTGAAAATGTATGCTTATAAATTTTTGGTTAAATAGGACTCGTGAATCCTAGCTTCTCTATTACTATGATGTATTTTCTTTCTCATATTACTCCCCTCAAATGTAACTTAAAGTTTCTTATTTAAGAATTGTAAAAGTAAAAGATAGATTATTAGAATAAATGCAAGAAGAAAGAGCAAAGAAGATAAGATAATCCTAAAGAAATTATAATAATTTTTCACCTAGATATTTGACCCACTAGTCTCTTTGTGGCTCGAGGAGACTAGTAGTAGAGATCCATTGATCGATCCTTTAGTCATATATAAGATTGATATAATTGAACTCTTATATGCATGATTATGATGCTATTGATATTTAATGTGCATGATAGGGTGAGATTAATGCGATTAAATTCTAGTATGCATGTTAGGATTAAAATGATGAGATCACACCATATTAAATCCTTTAAATAAATATCAAGTTATATGCCTTCTAATGTTATGATAAAAGAACTCTCTTGGTCATTGTTGACTCATTAAGATAAGTTAAGATCATTTCTTTCTTGAGGAAATCAAATCATGAGCCATGTGATATTCTCGAATGTTTGGATCCAACTTAAAATAAATTTTTAGATTTATTGAGATAACTCAAGGTCCAACGAATTTGTAGGCAAAGATTGGTATTCACATAAGATGTGAGATGACAATGATTTATCATTCCAATGAGATTAGGAGTCGTCTTGGATACATTTGATAAGAAGTTACCTACCTAATACTTCATGTATGACTTGTTAAAATAACTCAAGGTTAAATGGATATAGAGGATGGAATCCTAACCCACTAAAAGTTTTTCTTAAGTTCTATAGTGAAGGTAATAGAACTTGAAAAAAAATAGTAGAAGCGAATATAGATTTCACTTCTTAATTTATACTTTTATTTTTAAAATACAAATCAATTAACCATATCATATGCTTTTCTATCTCGTCAAGTTATTGTACAATATGATGTTAGTGTAGGTACTCAAAATCCAAGCACTGATTGGATGGTTTGACTTA